TCTTTTATAATAGCTTCAAATAACGGGAAGAGGTGGTTCTTTTATAATAGCTTCAAATAACGGGAAGAGGTGGTTCTTTTATAATAGCTTCAAATGACTGGAAGAGATGGTCCTTTTATAACAGCTTCAAATAACTGGAAGAGATGATTCATTTATAATACCTTCAAATAACTGGAAGAGATGGTTCATTTATAATAGCTTCATGTTTTAAAAATATTGACAGGCAAAAAAAAAGTAAAATCTTGAGCAATTCTTACAGAAAATTGTTGGAAATGTCTGGAGACCAAACAAGAATCACTGACATGATCCACAAGAAGAAGGAAAAAAAACCTGAGAAGTGGGTGAAAAGAGCAGCAACTGTAGTGTTATACCTGAGCAACCAAAATGTATTTTGAACTCATTCTTCAAATGCAAGAACAATTCTTACAATGACAAATCTTTTGGGAAAAAATAAAGCTAATGGTTCTGACATTCACTTCAATTGTGATGTTGTTAAATTGTGCTATTTTATTTCTTTGCTATTGTATAAATGAATTTTGTACAGAACTTTTACAACTAAGAGACAGTTTTATTTCAAGATAAATTTTTGTTTCTACCTGTTATTATTTTATACTTACCAATTTCATTTACTATTATACTTGCAGAAAAAGATATTTGTTTTCACTAGAAACACTTTTTGATGTCTACACATCAATACTAACAGCATTTTTTTTTCACTTTACCAAACATTTTTTAATTGTCCAAAAATAAACAAGACCACGACATAACAACATAGCCAAATACATTAAAACCTCCTTCACCAAGTACGTGAAGTCTGAAATGGAATTAACTCTCTGAACATAGCTTCAGAAATCAGATCACATTTTTCAAGTAGACAATAGAATCAATATTGTGTCACCCATTTGCTTCTTTAAGAGCTTTAGTTAAATAAACAGAGGTTCAGAATTTTATTCAAAAAAACAAAAAAAGATTACTTCATGTTTCTGACACCCATTAATTTCATATTCTTTTAAAAGAGTTTATTCTATGTTATTAGGGAATAATGCAACAGGAATTATTCCCAAAATAATTTTTTTTTTCATGTAGCATGTGCAAATATGAACAAATCTTTAAAAATTATTTCTCAAGGGTTACGAGTAATACTTTGTGGATAGGGTAAATTTGCAAGACACTTTCTAACAAAAGTAAAAACGGGTATCTATCGGACAATCTCAATCCTATACTATCAGTTTCAAAGTTTTTTAAATTGATTTTTCGTTTCTTGTTTTGTGAAGCAAACTGCACCTTCGACTTTCTAACTATCATCCTCTTGAAATTTTACTCACATTATAAGAAGCATCTCTGTAGAGCTGGGCTGGAGCATACAGAGAGACTGGGGTGTGAGGAGCTGCTGTCTGGGGATAGGAGCTGCATGTGGGATCTTGTGGAAAAGAGTAACTAGATGTAAAAGCCACTGGAGGACTTACAGGCCTTGCCTGTCGTTTATAAGATGTACTCCCTTCGTGGGGGGTTCTGAAATATCAATGATGAGAAACTTATCATTTAAAAGCAATACACAAAAACAATCATTAAATACTTAAAAAAAAACAAAAAACTTATACGCTTGTCTTCCCCTAATTGGAAAAAATAAAATCCTAGAAACATCTCTAAAGCACGACAAATAGATACCTATGATAAGAGAAACTCAAATTCCTAATTTTTAGTCTATTTCTCCTCAAAAATATTAATGTTCCCCCCAATTATTTGATTAATAGCTACCATAAATATTTATATATTTATACAAGTGTTCTTAAAACATGGAGAAATTGTAAACAACAAACTTTTGAACAAAAACAGATATCTATGATAAAGCACATTATCACATATACACATTCAGTTTATTATACAGCCAACAAAGTTTGATCTGAAATGCCTTTTCACAACTTCTCAATTGGTTGTCAGCCTATAGCAAATCCTAATTCCAATGCTAAACTGTGTCTGGTGTAAGTTGTGCTTCATAATATAGCCAGAATATTGTTGTGTTTAAACAGCTAATTAACTTGAACTTTTAACTTACCATTTACAGTATCAGCCTGAGTATTCCAACAGGATGTACGACAACAAAAATACATGATGCATCCAGAATAAAACTAGTACCACCCATTATTACTGTCAAACTGCAATGATATAAAATGAACTGGACTAGTTTGACCTTTCCACTTCATAATTACACAACACAGACTACTGACCATTAACTCCTGTAGTGTGACAAACAGAATACACTGTTTTAATGACTCTCCTGCCAAAGTTTGAATCACCGATATCATAATTACACTACACTAACTTGCATTGTGTAATAAATAGTGTACAACTGTCATATTAATGTTGAGTAAAAAGTCTTACATTATTATGTTCTGTGTGGTGTTTTGATACAGCAACAGGCAGGAAAAGTGAAGAGAGCTTTCAAGTTATTTCACTGTATTTTTATAAACAGTTTTGTCTGAAGAGTGATAATACAATTAAAAAATAAACTAATTACAAAATGATCAACACGTAAAAAGTCTTACATTATTATGTTTGTGTGGTGTTTTGATACAGCAACAGGCAGGAAAGGTGAAGAGAGCTTTCAAATTATTTCACTGTATTTTTTATAAACAGTTTTGTCTAAAGAGTGATAATACAATTAAAAAATAAACTAATTATAAAATTATCAACATGCACGCAATGCTTACTAATATGCATGATAATTTATGATATTTCTAACAATTTATTATAATGCCCAATATGAGATGTCATTTAGTCCAATAATGCCTATAATGGTACTTGTTAAGCCACATAAATGTAATAAAATATGGTGTTTGTTTTTACATTTCTTCTCTCTGGACTAGACTTACTACAGAATTTCACTGGTACAAAGGTAAAAAATATTGTACCTTTGAAAAAAAAAAAGAAATGTAGTGTTACTTGTCATAAACATTGTATGCCATGTCAATCTGTTTCCATGAAATAAATGGACTTACATACTTGAGTCAATCAGATTCCATAGTGTTCAACTTTCCACAACATTTACAGAATGTGGAAACTAATTTCATTACTAATATTAATTTTTTTTTTTTATGACCTTTTTCTTACCGACTATTTATTATGGATTGAAATACAGTTCACCATATTTCAACTTAAGTAAAAGTGTTAACATTTAGAGTTCTCTCTTACTTAACATTTTGCTACTCTCGTTAATTAGTTTATGATAATTAAATGTGTTGCTAATGGTAACATTATATAAAAATACAAAAAAAATCACTAACATTACACTACACTAATAAATAAACTTCAGGAAAGATACATGCCAAAAATTCCTTATTCTAATTATTAGAAGCTGGTGAAACCCTCATAAAACTAATTCTTATATTGAATTCAGAGAAAATATTTTTTTACAGTATTGAAGCTAATGTAATATACGATCCACTTTCAACAACACTTGTTGAACCATTCTAATGCAGCGCTGTGGATGAACTGAAAAGAAAGCTAAATGAATCTTTGGAAATGAAACATTAAGAAATTAAAGCCAGCTGTTGCAAGAGATTGTACACCCTGCTCCTAGGTATTACCTTTGAATGACATTGTCGATAAACTAAAAAACAAATCATATTTAACATTGAGTAGAAGTTATCTTAGAATAATGTTTCTCTGGTTTTCCACCGACACTAATGGAGCAACATTATAAAAATTGTGAGTCTAAGAATCCAAAGAAATTACAAAATCCTGAAAAACTATTCACTCTCACTTCAATTTACCCCCTCCCCCAAATGTGAAAAGATTCCAGTGTGAACTTTTTTATGCATGCCAAATAAATCAGTACTAACAAAACAGTGTATCAAGACAAAAGATAACCCTGGATTTTTAAAAGAACTTTTGATGGTAACTATGTTCAATAATTCAGAGAAGATCCTAATAACATATTCTCTAGTAGAAACTTTCCCTGTAAAAACTCGGAAGAATTTTGTTGTTGAAACAAACAGTAGTAAGTGGAATAAAATGTGTAGCAATTAAATGTGATAAACTTTCTATCAGTCAAGTAATGTCCAAAGTACTGGGTGTATATTTAGATCTGTAAATCTTAAAGCCATACTTTCCACATCCACACAAACAAACTGACAATGTTTACCGAACAGTTCGTGTGTGTGTCAACTTATAAAGTGGCAGAGAAATCCATTTGGAGATAACATACTCAAGAATCACTAAAATATTAATGCAACAATCTTTATTTACTGTTTTCTACTTTAGAGAGTAATGGGTACCAAAAAGTTTTACTGATCAAAAGGAATCCATAAAGTGTAACTATGATTTGTTGATTAATCTGAACTTATTAATCAAACTTTCACACAGTACATCATCAATTTAAAAGCAATTATTTTACTTCATTAATATTTATATACGAGATTCATTAAAAACATATTGCAGAAGTTCACGAAATACAAACAAAAAAGAAAGTCTTTGAACAGTCAAGAAATTAGAAACAGCAGACATTAATTAGAAACCACAAAATATGAAGGTCTGATTCCTGGTACAGATCCTAAGTGATTCAATTGCATTTTTCTTTAGCAAGCACAATGTTACAGATATCAAACTAATTAGTTGTTTTTTTAAGTATTTATTTCTCCATAAATTCATTGATGATCATCTGGAACCTTGTTTTTCTTTCCCGTGGAGGATGAAGTAACTATATTAGTATAACAATTAAACTCAATTAATATGAGGACATTCTTCATTAAAGAAAGTCAGAGTTCAAACCAATGAAAACTGTACACCACATCTGAGATGAGACACTTAACTTGTCAGACATTTTATACCAAGAAAGTCAAGAGTTCAAACCAATGAAAACTGTATGCCACATCTGGGGATGAGACACTTAACTTGTCAGACATTTTATACCAAGAACGTCAGAGTTCAAACCAATGAAAACTGTATGCCACATCTGGGGATGAGACACTTAACTTGTCAGACATTTTATACCAAGAACGTCAGAGTTCAAACCATGAAAACTGTATGCCACATCTGGGGATGAGACACTTAACTTGTCAGACATTTTATACCAAGAAAGTCAGAGTTCAAACCAATGAAAACTGTACACCACATCTAGGGATGAGACACTTAACTTGTCAGACATTTTATACCAAGAACGTCAGAGTTCAAACCAATGAAAACTGTATGCCACATCTGGGGATGGGACACTTAACTTGTCAGACATTTTATACCAAGAAAGTCAGAGTTCAAACCAATGAAAACTGTACACCACATCTAGGGATGAGACACTTAACTTGTCAGACATTTTATACCAAGAAAGTCAGACCTTAAGAAAACAATGAAGGAGCCAAAGTGCAGATTGTTTCCAATTATACTGATATACAGAAATTGTCTCAGTTTTTGAAAAATATGTCAACATATATTGCTGGATAGATTGTTCCTCAATTATTGAAGGAAAACTTGTTACACATGAATCGTGTATCAAAGTTCTTAACACTTATTCCTTCATAAAATATTTACTTCTCATTAACTTGAAACAAATAATGGAACTCTTATCATTTGGTCACACTGTGTACTTTCTTTGTAAGCTATCAGAAACAACATCAGTGAAGTAACAAAAATACAGAATGATGCTTATCAAAGTGCTATAGGCACTGACACTTTTTGAAACTTCAAAATGGTTTGTTTAACAAAGAAATTGAAACATCAGCCACTGTAAAATTTCTTATAAGTGTAAAAGGATTACACCACTTTGCCGAACAACTCAATGACAGACTGAACTGTCTTAATGTAAGACAACAGTTAGTGGTAAAATAAATAATGCTTACTTCTTGTTTCGTATTACTATGTTGTTAGAGAAATATAAAAGTAGAAATATTGACAGCCATTGCCCATAATAAAAAAAAAACTATATCAAACTTTTAGAGAACATTTGTTTGCAGCACCTTAAAATAAATCAATAAATCAATCATTTCAAAAACCCAAATCAAAAGGTACCATAGCTTTCTCTTTACATTCAAAGATTCATTGTAAATAAATTTTGTTTAATAAGATAAAATTGAGTAGGTCTACAGGTACCAAGCTTTTCTACCGGTAATGTAATGTGATCACAAGTCCAATTCTTAGATACAGAAACCACCATATTATATTTACATACTTGGCCAGTAATATTATCAAATTAATAGTCTTTAATGTTAGATACAAAAACAAAACTACTTCATGTAAAACAGAAACAATTACATGGCTCACACCAGTAAAAGTCATCACTTAATTTGTATTGTTCAGCATAATCATCGTCCCTTTCAATGGCAGTTTTCATGTTATGTAAATTTGTAAGTGTAAATACATAATAATATAGTATTTATTACAACAGATATTTGTAAATATGAATCCAACAATGTTACTACCAAGTAACATAAAATAGTTAAATTATTTTAGTGTTACATATACCTATTGGTACAATATGCCTAGTACCGTAGTACTAACGGCTACCCAACCAGTTTGATTGG